GAAATACTGGAAGTGAGGTCTTAAACACATGAACTGAAGAGGGGGACACAGTTTAACCCATAACACACTGTTTCCTGAAATAACTGTCCAATGTAATTTTTTTGAAAGATACAAAAACTAGCCAAAATTATAAAAGGTTACGATTGCAATCCTGGTATCCAATTACATGCTCCCTCCTACAGAAGCTGCAGGGAATCCTGTCTGACAAAACCAGTTTCTATCTTGTTACATGTCCATGTATGCAAAATACATGTACTTTATTTGTCCCTGCCGTAGGGCAACAATGCTGAATTTAGTAAGACTCATTTAGGAGCATGGTTTGATAGAGAATTAAGATTTACTAGATATTCTCTCATAGTCCTCATTACTGATTATTTTAACTGTGCCTCAAACACTTGGGTAGTTAGTACACTCTATTGTTATAAGCTGGTTGCCATGTTGCTTCATAATCATTCTCAAGTTTGTGTGTGTGTGTGTATACATGTGTGTATGTCATAACAGGCATACCTGTTTTAGTGTGCATCACTTTATTGCACTTCACGGGTATCTTGTTTCTTACAAAGTGGAGATTTGTGGCAGCCCTTCATGGAGCAAGTCTTTCAGCACCATTTTTCCAACAGTACATGCTCACTTCATGTTCTGTGTCACATCTTGGTAATTCTTTGAATGTTTCAAATGTTTTCTTTTTTTTTTTGAGGTGGAGTTTCGCTCTTGTTACCCAGGCTGGAGTGCAATGGCACGATCTCGGCTCACCGCAACCTCTGCCTCCTGGGTTCAAGCAATTCTTCTGCCTCAGCCTTCTGAGTAGCTGGGATTACAGGTACGCGCCACCATGCCCAGCTAATTTTTTGTATTTTTAGTAGAGACGGGGTTTCACCATGTTGACCAGGATGGTCTCGATCTCTTGACCTCGTGATCCACCCACCTCGGCCTCCCAAAGTTTGGCTTGAGCCACCGCGCCCGGCCTCAAATGTTTTCTTTATTATATCAGTTATGGTGATCTGTGATTAGTGATCTTTGATATTGCTGTCGAAATTATTTGGGGAGGCACCAAGAACCACCCCTGTATAAAACAGCAAACTGAGTCAGTAAATGTTAGATGTATTCTGACCACTCCACTGACTAGTTGCCTCCCTATCTCGCTCCATCTACTCAGATCTCCCTGTCCTTGAGACACAGCAATACTGAAATTAGGGGCCCGGCCTGCTGGGGGTTCATGCCTGTAGTCCCAGCTACCTGGGTGACTAAAGCAGGAGGATTGCTTGAGCCCAGGAGTCTGAGGTTGCAGTGACCCGTGATCACACCACTGCACTCCAGCATGGGCAGTAAAGCAAGACCCCAAATCAAAAAAATTAGGGCAATTAATAGCCCTAAAATAGCCAATAATTGTTTTGTAAAAGAATGAGTTGCACATCTCTTACTTTAAATCAAAAGCTAGAAATAATTAAACATAGTGAGGAAGGCATGTTGAAACAGCCAAATTGTAAATGCAAACGAAAAGTTCTTTCAGGAAATTTGAAGTGCTCCTCCAGTGAACACACAAATGATTAAAAATATGAAACAGCTTTATTGATGATATGCAGAAAGTTTGAGTGGTCTGTAAAGATTAATGCAACCACACTATTCCCTTAAACCAAAGCCCAATCCAGAGCAAGGCCGTAACTCGTCTGTTCTGTGAAGGCTGAGAGAAATAAGGAAGCTACACAAGAAAAATCTGAAGCTATCAGAGGTTGGTTCATGAGATGGAAGGAAAGAAGCTATCTCTATAATACAAAAGTGCAAGATAGGCCAGGCACGGTGGCCTATGCCTATAATCCCAGCATTTTGGGATGCAGGTGGATCCTTTGAGGTCAGGAATTCAAGACATGCCTGGCCGACATGGTGAAACCCTGTCTCCACTAAAAATACAAAAATTAGCTGGGTGTGGTGGCGCACGCCTGTAGTCCCAGCTACTCAGGAGGCTAAGGCAGGAAAATCACTTGAACCTAGGAGGTGGAGGGTGCAGTAAGCTGAGATCACACCATTGCACTCCAGCCTGGGTAACCAAGTGAGACTCCTACTCAAAAAAAAAGAAAGAAAAAAGTGCAAGTGTAAGTTAAAGCAGCAAGTCATCTCGGATCATCTAGGAGATCTACCTAAGATCACTGATGAAAGTGGCTATGCTAAGCATCCTTGTTTTGGGAAAAGATGCCACCTAGGACACTAATAGCTAGAGAGTCAAAGGCAGGCTTCAGAGCTCCAGTGGATGGGCTGACCCTTGCTAGGGGGCTAGTGTAGCTGGTGATTTTATGTTGAAGCCAATGCTCATTTACCATTCTGAAAATCATAGATAGGGCCCTTAATGCTGATATTTTCAGCCCACTGTTGAGACCTAGTGCTCAGGAAAAAAAAAATTCTTTTAAAATACTGGGCCGGGTGCGGTGGCTTACGTCTGTAATCCCTGCACTTTGGGAGGCCGAGGCGGGTGGATCACGAGGTTAAGAGATCGAGACCATCCTGGTCAACATGGTGAAACCCCATCTATACTAAAAATACAAAAAATTAGCTGGGCACAGTGGCGCATGCCTGTAATCCCAGCTACTCAGGAAGCTGAGGCAGGAGAATTGCCTGAACCCTGGAGGCGGAGGTTGCGGTGAGCCGAGATCGCGCCATGGCACTCCAGCCTGTGTAACAAGAGCGAAACTCCATCTCAAAAAAAAAATTAAATAAATAAAATATTACTGCTGATTTACAGCACTCCTGTTCACCCAAGAGCTCTGATGGAGATGTACAAGGAGATTCATGTGGATTTCATGCCTGCTAACAAAACATCCTTTCTGCAGCCCAAGGATCAAGGAGTCATTTTGATGTTCAAGTTTCTTTATTTAAGAAATACATTTTGTAAGGCTATTGCTGCCTGAAGATATAATTGAATCAGTGCAATAGCATAATAGAACTTGAATGGATAAGCAGTTGCTTCTTGTGGATGAGCAACGAAAGTAGTTTCTTGAGATGGAACCTAATCCTGGTGAAGATGTGAACACTGTTGAAATGACAACAAAGGATTTAGAATACTCCATAGACTTAGTTTATGAAGCAGCAGCAGGGTTTGAGAAGACTGACTCCAATTTTGAAAGTTTTCCTTGGGTTAAATGAAATCTTTCATGAAAAGAAGAGTCAATCAATGTGACAAATTTCATTATTGTCTTATTTTAAGAAGCTGCCACAGCCACCCCAAGTTTCAAGCACCAACTTGGTCAATAGCCATCAACATCAAGGCAAAAATTCGCTGCCAATAAAAAGATTATGACTCACTGAAGGCTCAGCTGATTGTTAGCAATGAAAAAAATGTTAATTTTAATAATCTCAACCATTCAGAACTAATCTTTTTAATATTCTCTATGGCAAAATGGGAAATACACACAAAGCACTTCTGCTACATACTGAATTATGATTGTTGTCTCCAGTAAAAAAAACTTGTGGGAACATTTTGAGTTGTAAGCTTAACTAGCTAGCTGCTTTTTTCATGTAGTACCACTTTTAATGGATATAACTGACAGATAAACAGGTATTCAAAACTAGGTTTTTGGCAGACATTTTCGTGAAAATATGTTCATGCCAATTCAAGGAACGTAATTCTCAGTACTTGTGGACAATGTTTGAATTTTCATGCAAAAATTCAAATTTTAAGAACTTGGCAGCTTCTGAATACTTAAAAACTTTTCTGATGAGATTACTAGTGATATTAACAAATGTGATTGTTCAATATCAAATAATGAAATGTGTTAACATTTGGAAGAACTGTTTAATTCAGTAAATCACTATTTTCCAAATGAGCATTGCATGACATTGCAACATCATGCACAGGAAAATAAGCATTCAAAGTACAGTCAAAAATCTATGAATTTTAATGTAACAAGAGTATAAAATGTCCATTAAAGTGGTTTCACATTCCAAATAGTAACTGGAAAATCCACCACTTATGTTTTGGTGTAGTAGTATCAAAAAAGAATAACCAAGATCGTTTGAAAAGGCTATTAAAAAGTACTCAATTTTCAAACTGCATACAGCAGGTACTCATTCGTTTCTTTGTAACACTGGTGAGAAAAGACTCCCTTGGAGGGATGATGTCGGTGTGCTGTTTACGTGTTCTCCCCACACCTGCATGGGTTTTCTCTGGGTACTGCAGTTCTTGCCACATGCAAAAGGTGTGCACGTGAGGTGAACTGGTGTGTCTTCACTGTCCGGGTCTGAGTGTGCGTGTGTGAGTGGCCCTGTGATGGAATGGCATCCTGTCCAGGGCTGGTTCCCTCTTTGTGCCCTGAGCTGCTGGAATAGGCTTCAGACACACACGACCCAGAACTGGAATTAAGTAAATAATTATCTTACTTTTTAGTAAATATCTTGTTTTTTAGTAATCTTTCTTAAATGCATGTATAGCTCACATTACAATGTTTAATATGAGAATAGTTTGGTCTTTAGAAGCTTAGTGATTTTTTTTTTCCTTGGCGGAGGTTGCAGTCAGCCAAGATCGTGCTACTGCTCTCCAGCCTGGGCGACAGAGCGAGACTCCGTCTCAAAAAAAAATAAAAATACTATAAAATTAGCCCGGCGTGGTGGCGAATGCCAGAAGTCCCAGCTACTTGGGACGCTGAAACAGGAGAATCGCTTGAACCCGGGAGGCAAAGGTTGCAGTGAGCTGAGACTGCACCACTGCACTCCAGCCTGGGCAACAAGAGCGAAACTCTCAAAAAAAAATTTAGAATGCCTTGTCAGGTACCCCAAAGGCAAACACTCCCAACACAGCGTGTAATGCCCACCCCTCCCGCGGCTCTGCTCTGCCTTCGTCCTGGTCGCAGACGCTTCAGAACGGCCACCATTCTAGACGTGCAGGGACTAGCCCTGCAGACAAACCCAGCAGTCACAGCGGCGGAACTCGAGATGCGGACGCACAACCAGCCCGTCAGCAGTGATGTCCCGCCTTTCCTCCGTTGCCATTGGTCCAGCCACGCAGGGGCCCCGCCCATAGGACACCAAGCTTCGGGTACTGGGCTCGGCGCGCCGGTGATTTCCGACTGGGAGGGCAGAGCTCCAAGGAGCGTGAGCGTCGGGACGCCTGACGCCGGCACGCACCCTTCACAGCGCCTCCTACTCGCCGGACTGGATCGAAAGCTTGATTGGCGACTGAGGTGGCCTCGGGCACCGTCTAATCGCGGGACGCTGCCTCTGTGGAACGGGGGTGGCCCTCGCGGGCGGCCAGTCCCGAAGCACGCGGCACACCTTCCCAGTGCTTCATTCGTCTGCGGATGCCACAGGCCAGGGAGGTGGTGTCACCGCGCGACGGCCTGGCGAGATTGTGACTTCAGGCGCGTATGAGCGCCGATTGGCCGGGCGATGTGGCGCGGACTGGCGCTTGGGAGGGCGATTGGCTGCGTGGCCCGGGGGTGGGGCCAGTGGGCGGTGCGCGCCACGGACAGCGCTCAAAGTCTGCGCGCTCGGGGGCCGGTGGTTGTCCGGGTCCGGAGGACGCTCAGGTATTGGGGATCTGCAGCTGGGTTCGGGAGACCGGGGCGGGGCGGGGAGGTCTCGGCGCGGCGGCATGGACGGCTGGGGGCGGCGGCGTGGGTCACCGGAGGTGGAGCGAGGCCGAGCTCTCCCGGGTTGTGGTGGGCGCCCGCGCCCTGTGGAAGGCGGAGACGTTACCGTTCTTTGTCAGTAGAAAAGATCATCGTCTACGCACAGTCAGCTGAGGTTTAGGAACGCGTGGAATCGGAAACCGAATCTGAAGAGATTACGAATTGCGAGTTCCTCTTAGAGAATTCAGAAACAAGAGTAGACAGCATCGTCAGAAACATGAGCGTAACGGCGCCGGTCTCCCCGTTCCGAGTACACATGGGTCTGTGCGAAGGGGTGACGGGAACACACTCAAGGATGCTCTTGGGAAAGGAACAGGAGAAGAGATGGGGAACATGCATAGATGGAACCAGATCTTTTTCTTAGGTTGGGTGATGTGTTCCCGCGTCTGCTACACAGCATTATCTTCAAACGCATAAGAAGACGTATTCGTTTTATCTTGTGATTAAGAAGTTTAGTCTTAAAATCTGAATTCTGAAAACCCTGAAAGCAGTTGTCATTGCAGGGGGGCGGTGGTGCACACCTGTAATCCCAGCACTTTGGGATGCGGGGACTGAAGGATCGCTTGACCCCGGGAGGGGCAGGCAGAGGCTGCAGTGTGCCTAGATCACGCCACTGCACTCCAGCCTGGGCGACAGACATAGCAAGACCCGGCCCTATCACCCCAAAAAAAACAGTCACGTCAAAAAGTCTAGTAATTAATAGTAACGAAATCTATCTTAGTGGTCGCTAATAAACAGTTGGCCCACTGTATCTTTGGAGTCCATATCCATGGATATAACCAACTGCACATTATAAAATATTTTTTTTAATTTATCTGTACTGAATATATACAGACATTCTGTAAACTATACAGCGCAACTACTTAGCACTGACATGTTTTAGATATTATCTACAGATGATAATTTAACGTTCAGCCCGCATCACTTAAGAGAGATACTTTGGAGAAATTCATTGATAGATAATTTCACCATTGTGGAAACAGAGTGCACTGACACAGAACTAGATGGTGCAGCTGGGCTTTCTGGTGTATCCAGTTGCTCATAGGCTATTGCTCCTGTTGCTTCAGGCCTAAATCTGGACAGCGTGTTACTGTGTAGAATAATCTGGGCAGTTGTAACTGTAAATACAGCAGCAAGTTCTATAAATACAGCTACAAGTATTTCTGTATCTAAACATAGAAAAGGTGATGTGCTAGGATGTCTCAATGGTTACAACATCATTAGGCAATAGGAATTTGTCAGTTCTGTTATAATTTTATGAAACCACTGTAATATATGCAGTCCTGTACTTTACAGAAACACCATCATATGACAAGTCTGTATACAATAGGATATACACAGGTGATACACAAATACTATTGCATTTTATATCTGGAACTTCAGCATCCTCAAATTTTGGTAGCTGTGGGAGGTCCTGCAACCAACCCCCATAGATACCAAAGGATGACTGTATATGAAACTAGCCCATAGAAGTTGGAAGTAGGCCAGGCGTGGAGGCTCACACCTGTAATCCCAGGACTTTGGAGGCTGAGGCAGGCAGATCACCTGAGGTCAGGAGTTCAAGACCAGTTTGCCCAACATGGTGAAACCCCATCTCTACTAAAAATACAAAAAATTAGCCTTTCCAGCTCCGACCCCGGACCCTACAGTCGTCGCGATGTTGATGCCTAAGAAGAACCGGATTGCCATTTATGAGCTCCTTTTTAAGGAGGGAGTCATGGTGGCCAAGAAGGATGTCCACATGCCTAAGCACCCAGAACTGGCGGACAAGAACGTGCCCAACCTTCATGTCATGAAGGCCATGCAGTCTCTCAAATCCCGAGGCTACGTGAAGGAACAGTTTGCCTGGAGACATTTCTACTGGTACCTTACCAATGAGGGTATCCAGTATCTCTGTGATTACCTCCATCTTCCCCCAGAGATCGTGCCTGCCACCCTACGCCGCAGCCGTCCAGAGACAGGCAGGCCTCGGCCTAAAGGTCTGGAAGGTGAGCGACCTGCAAGACTGACAAGAGGGGAAGCTGACAGAGATACCTACAGACGGAGTGCTGTGCCACCTGGTGCTGACAAGAAAGCCGAGGCGGGGGCTGGGTCAGCAACCGAATTCCAGTTTAGAGGCGGATTTGGTCGTGGACTGGTCAGCCACCTCAGTAAAATTGGAGAGGATTATTTTGCATTGAATAAACTTACAGCTAAAAAAAAAAATTAGCTGAGCATGGTGACATGTGCCTGTAATCCCAGCTACTCAGGAAGCTGAGGAGAGGCGGAGGTTGTGGTGAGCCGAGATCGCGCCATTGCACTCCAGCCTGGGTAACAAGAGCAAAACTCCGTCTCAAAAAAAAAAAGAAAGAAAAATCAAGAAACAAAAAAATAATAATTCATTCAGAAATAAAGGGGAGGAAAATAGAGAAAATAAAAAACTTCAAAGTTGTGCTATGTAACAGTGCTCTGAAGGATACAAAAGTTAGAGAGCGTAGAAGCTGCTGGATATAGATGTGTAAGTGAATCACAATACAGAAATACTGTAGTAAGTGCTTTATGTTTAAATCACTTGGGCGGGATTAACTGGGACTCAGAAAATTAATGCTTGATGCACTAAGGTAGAGATGGGCCAACTATGGCCCACAGGCCAAATCTGGCCTGCTGCCTGTTACATCCTATGAGATGAGGGGTTTTCTCACTTTTAAATGGCTGGAGAAAAACTAAAATATTTTGTGACACATGAAAATTAAATGTAATTCAGATTTCGATGTCCACAAATAATGGCAAGCACCCACACTCAGTTTACATATTGCCCGTGACTATTTTATTGTTACCAAGCAGAGTTGATACTACCTGGCCCTTTATAGAAGAAAACTTGCCAAGCACTGCCTTAAAGCATCTGTTGAATATAATGAATTAAGTTTTCTCCTGTTTAACTAGAATTGTATTAGCTAAGTACTGCCCTGGGGGAAATTTACAAGACTCATGCAAATCATTTTTCTGTTCAGGAGCTTGGGTTGAGAAAAACTGAATTAAATCTTACTGTGTCATTGGTAGGAGGGTTACTGAATGTATGACACATGAATTGTGCCTTGAAAAAATGGACTTTGACCAAGATTGGCCTGTGACATTCTTGAGCAACTATGCAGAGACAAGCAGTGGGAAAAACATTCAGGATAGTGATGGGAGCACATTATAGAGATGACAGAAGCTGGTGTGGAAAAACAGGATGGAAAGTTAGGTTGGGACCAAACCAGGGAAGAAAAGTACACTGGAGAAAGGATTGAGTATCAAGTGCTGCAGAGGATCTCGGATGCAGAGTAGAATGTTGAGCATGGCGTTTAGGAGCACGGCTATGGTAAAAGGCCAGCTGTGAAGCCTGCAGGAGCAATGACTGAGAGCGCTGTGCAGGTGGCTGGCAGTGTTCTTGGGGTCCCTATGAGGATGCAGAGTGGTACAACTGCAAATGGGGAAGCTGTGTAATTATTTTTCTGACATTCAGAAAAATATATGATGGCCTTTCTCCTTTCTTTCAGTATTAGTGTTCTAGGACAGATCAGACATTTTGTAATGATGCCTGAAATAAACACTGACCACCTCGATGAGCAACAGGTTCAACTCCTGGCAGAGATGTGTATCCTTATTGATGAAAATGACAATAAAATTGGGGCTGAGACCAAGAAGAATTGTCACCTGAATGAGAACATTGACAAAGGTACTGTTTTGAAATATTCTTTGTTATAAAGCGATGTGTGTAGGCATACCCAATTTGCTGAGAAGAACACTGGGTTCAAGGCAGTGCAGTCTTTAATTAAATACTATATCTTCTCTTTGGTGCCCGTTTGTTAAATAGTGTAGTCATAGCATCTTCTTTGCTGTTCCTGTTACAGCGATTTCTCTTCACATTATTCCTTTTACTCGGCTTCTTCAGAATTATTCTGGATTCATAAAAGAAGAAGCAGACTAACCCTGACATGCGGCAGCAACCTAGCATCTAATCTTTCTATAGAATTGAGAGGGGCAGGCACCATGCAGGGAATCGGGTGCCTTCGCCACTTTCCGAGAATTGAAGGTCCTTGATAGGAAACTTGACTAAGGGAAGGGGCCACCAGCATCACCCTTTCCTTCACTTGACGGCCAACTTCCTGGCCCAGTGCAGCGCTCTTCCTCATCATAGCCATGCAGGGACTATGCATCCAGATAAACTGTGTGAAAAAGCAGAAGCAGCAGCAAGTGACTGATGTTATTCTGAACTGCAAGGAGAGAATTGGGCAAATAACTGATACTTAAGGCTAAATTAATTATTTCTTTTGCTTTCAGGATTATTGCATCGAGCTTTTAGTGTCTTCTTATTCAACACTGAAAATAAGCTTCTGCTACAGCAAAGATCAGATGCTAAGATTACCTTCCCAGGTTTGTACATTTAGTGTACAATATTTTGTTTGTACATTAATTTGACTTTTTATGATTCTGAATTCCTGGAGCCAAGGTCAAAAAGGGAAATCCTGTGAATGGCATATTTTATATTCTACATAATAAAGTAAGTTTATACAATGAGTGCAACCTAATACAACAGCAATAAAGAATAAGAGCTAGTGAGCAATTGAGCAATGTGTATATATTTATATATTTTATCTTTAATCTATATTTTCTACACAATGTGATCTTTTTTGGTTAAAGAAGCATTAATAAGGAACTTACCTACAAATGAAGTCTGTCTCACAAAACAATTACTGATAGCCCATTATAACCGATTTTAGAATCCCTTTTTTTCTTTGAGATGCAGTCTTGCTCTGTTACTCAGGATACAGTGCAATGGCGCCATCTCGGCTCACTGCAACCTCTGCCTCCTGTGTTCAAGCGATTCTCCTGCCTCAGCCTCCCAAGTAGCTGGGATTACAGGCGCGTGCCACCATGCCCAGCTAATTGTATTTTTAGTAGAGACAGGGTTTCACCATGTTGGTCAGGCTGGTCTTGAACTCCTTACCTTGTGATCTGCCTGCCTCAGCCTCCCAAAGTTCAGGGATTACAGGTATGAGCCTCCACACCTGGCCTGATTTTAAAATTGTTAAAAAATCATTTTATTTCGCCGGGCAAGGAGGCTTACGTCTGTAATCCCAGTACTTTGGGAGGCCAGGGCAGGCAGATCACAAGGTAAGGAGTTTGAGAACAGCCTGGCCAACATGGTGAAACCCCATCTCTACTAAAATACAAAAAATTAGCCAGATGTGGTGGTGCACACCTGTAGTCCCAGCTACTCCGGAGGCTGAGCCAGGAGAATCACTTGAACTCGGAGCCAAAGGTCGCACCACTGCACTCCAGCCCAGGCAACAGCTAGACTCCATCTTAAAAAATAAATTATTTTATTTTTCTACTACTTATAAACTTTCCTGATCTTTCAGACCTACTTTGAAGAAAAGCTGATCTGTCTCTATTAACATTTTCCAGGTTGTTTTACTAATACTTGTTGTAGTCATCCATTAAGTAATCCAGGCGAGCTTGAGGAAAATGACGCCCTTGGAGTGAAGCGAGCAGCGCAGAGGCGGCTGAAAGCTGAGCTAGGAATTCCCTTGGAACAGGTAACTGGCTATACTACACAACCATACAAACTGAAACCTAAACATACTCTAAAAGGTTTTTTAATTAAATTTTTAAATTCAAACGTAGTTCTCTGCTTGGTAACCTCCTGAATTATGAGTTACTCCCACAAGCCATCTGGAGTAAAGATTATTTAAATTTTAATTTCTTTTTTTTTTTTTTGAGATGGAGTTTCCCTCTTGTTACCCAGGCTGGAGTGCAATGGCACAACCTCGGCTCACCGCAACCTCCGCCTCCTGGGTTCAGGCAATTCTCCTGCCTCAGCCTCCTGAGTAGCTGGGATTACAGGCACGGGCCACCATGCCCAGCTAATGTTTTCTATTTTTAGTAGAGATGGGGTTTCACCATGTTGACCAGGATGGTCTCGATCTCTTGACCTCATGATCCACCCGCCTTGGCCTCTCAAAGTGCTGGGATTACAGGCGTGAGCCACCGTAAATTTTAATTTCTTAATATAACTTGTCAAAACTTAGCTCAGTACTGGGTTGGATTGATCTGTTAACCACTATATAAGGTTGAATATTTCTATAATTGATCAAATCAAAGATGAATATTTTCAAATGAGTGTTAACAGCTCTGGCAGAATTTGACTAGTGGGTTTTCCAATTTTCACCTGAATCCTTCTCCCCCCATCCAAAAAAGGTGAATATTTTCATTTGGAAATTCTTGGGAATGTGAATGATAAATCTAACTGGTTTAATTGAAATAATTTTTTTTCTTGGAATTGTCCCCCTTAAATAAGACTTGGATATAGAAAGTACTTCTTATCTATAATCTCCAAAAGGCAGTCTTCAAATACGAAAAAGAAGAAAGTCACATTTTTAGTTTGAATGACTGCCCCTTTTTTTAATATTTAAAAAAATAAAAAACAACTTACCTGTTTGGTCCTACAGGAAAAAACATAGACACTTGAAATTAGTAATGTAATCTTTTTCCACATATAATATTAATATTTCCATATACTGATAGGAGAGTAACACTTTAAAAGTTATAATTCTAAAGTTATACTCCTGTTCAAGATACTGCTGTAATATGGTAAGCTGATTTTAGATTTTTTTTGTTATTGTGGCTGATGTTTTTATTATTATTATTTTTTAATGTCTTAGGTTCCTCCAGAAGAAATTAATTATTTAACACGAATTTACTACAAAGCTCAGTCGGATGGTATCTGGGGTGAACATGAAATTGATTACATTTTGTTTGTGAAAAAGAATGTAACTTTGAATCCTGATCCCAATGAGATTAAAAGCTATTGTTATGTGTCAAAGGAAGAACTAAAAGAACTTCTGAAAAAAGCAGCCAGTGGTGAAATTAAGATAACGCCATGGTTTCAAATTATTGCAGAGACTTTTCTCTTTAAATGGTGGGATAACTTAAATCATTTGAATCAGTTTGTTGACCATGAGAAAATACACAGAATGTGAATATGTAGGTGAGTGATTACTGAAAAATTTCTCTATTTAACAAACTTAGAATGACTTTTTCAGTTTAAATTTAGTTCACTATCATCAGTGTGATATATACACTGACACTTTATAACTTGTGTAGAAAAAACTAACACTTTTGTTTCACACACCCTGGATATGTGTTCTGTTTCTAAATGACATTTGTGAGAGATTATTGTAAAATGAGAGAGATCAAATAGAAATTTAATCCGTGCAGACACATGCTTATGGCAAATTTGAACAAATGAGTGAAGCCCTGTGTTTTTAGTAAGCTGTGATAAACATTTCTGGAGCACTTGCTATTTGTCAGATACTTTGTGCCGCTAAATTTTTATCATAGTTCAGAAAAATGTGCAAAAGAAACTATTGCTTAGCTCCTTCAAAACAGTCCTAATTTAAAAAACAGTCCTAATTAACTTTCATATTAACAGATCAAACTAGCAGGGCAGGTTCAAGGGAAATTAAATAATGTGGACCCTAATTTGTATCATTCTGAGTTGATTGTGTGGTTTATTCATTCTGGAAATATGTTGATACTTAAAGTCAGCCATGGCTTTTGGTAAGTGATATTGATTACATTAAATCTTCTTTTATTTTATTTTATTTTTTTTATTGCATTTTAGGTTTGGGGGTACATGTGAAGAACATGCAAGCTAGTTGCATAGGTACACACGTGGCAGTGTCATTTGCTGCCTTCCTCCCCTTTCACCTGTATCTGGCATTTCTCCCCCTGCTATCTCTCCTCAGCTCCCCAACTCGCCACCCACTGCTGTCCCTCCCCTATAAATTTTCTTTTAAATAGTATTTGCCAGTTAGCAAAGTCTGTATTCTCAGAATTACAGTGGGCACAGAGGTATTCATAAAATGGGAATTGAGTTGCACTCAACAAAAATTGTTTAACCATGACCTGTTGACATTTGGGCTGGATAAAATCCTTGTGGTAGGGGTCCGTCCTGTGCATTATAGGACGGTGAGTAGCATCCCTGGACAGCACAGCAGATGCTGTTGGCATCCCTCTCTGATGACACCCAGAATTATACCAAATGTTGCCAGATGCTCCTGGGGGCCAGAGTCAACGCCCAACTGAGAACCACTGTCCTACAGAGTCAGGCGATACTGTAGAGAGAAACAACAATGACAAAAGTCAGTGTTCATGTTAAATAGATTTAGATTATAGAATGTGTATATTAATGTTAAAAACTGTACCTTGATCAATGTACTTTTATAAACTTGCCATAGATATCAAATTTGAAATCTCAAGATAGCTTTATTATTCTTAAATGCTGTATAATAAAGAAAAAATGAAAATTTATTTCTTACAAAATTAAATGTTTGTTAAATTTAATAGAATTATTCGTTTATGGTTAACTTTGGACAATTTATAATTTCAGATAAGACTGTAGCACCTATTTTATTGAAAAGTAAAAAAATTGCATTTTAATACTGTGTCTAGTTTGTTAAAATTTTAATACACTAATGGGATATTGCCTATATAGTTTCCGTTGCATTTATACTATTGTTTCTAATTTTTTTAGTTTTATTTTCTAGGAAATTTTAGGCCAAAAGCCACATATAATTAGTTACATAATAACTGTGAGTTGCCAGTGGCCACTGAATTGAACATCGGAGCCTTAGATAGACTCTTACTGGCACCTTGTAACTAGAGTTAGATATTACTGTTGCTACATTACTAGGATGCCATCCAGAAAATCGAAGTAGGAATGTTCTTTGACCTGACAAACTCCTTAGCTCTTTCATCTGGGCAGGGCGCGGTGGCTCACGCCTATAATCCCAGCACTTTGGGAGGCCAAGGCGGGTGGATCATGAGGTCAAGAGATCAAGACCATCCTGGTCAACAAGGTGAAATCCCGTCTCTACTAAAAATACAAAAATCAGCTGGGCATGGGGGTGTGTGCCTGTAGTCCCAGCTACTCGGGAGGCTGAGGCAGGAGAATTGCTTGAACCCAGGAGGCGGAGGTTGCGGTGAGCCAGCCCATTGCACTCCAGTCTGGGTAACAACAGCAAAACTTCATCTCAAAAAAAAAAACTCTTTCATCTTTTATAAAAAGGAGTATCTCTCTCTTAGACAAAGCTGCTTCTGACCCCAAAGGCAAATGTGTTGGTTTAGAACTCGAAAGCTAAATTATACCTAGAATTTTTTATTTCTGAATGTTTTAAATTCTTAGTCCTCAATATGTATACTTGTTTGATTCTGGTCAAACCATTGCCCACTCCTTTAAGGACAAAGTAGAGATGACTTTTTATAAAATTGCTATTTCTGTTTCCCTGCCTCTCTTATCAAGCAAACAAGACCAAAACAGAAAATGGTATAGTCGGAAGGAAGACACATTTTCTTCTTATTTGGCCCTGGCACCCGGGGTAAGTGCAGGTCGTTCCTCCAGTGGGTCTCTGCGGTCAGGAAGCTGCCCTGCACCTGCTCCCTGGCGGGTGCTTGTGCAGTGCTTTCATCATCCCACTTGGATCTGTCTGTTGGGCCCTCACTAGAGTTGGGAATTCCTCATGGGATGAGGAACTCTAGATCCCCGCTTGACCAATGGGATTTTCTTTTTATTATTTCGGATACACCTCTCCTTCACCCTTCCTCTCTGGGTGCTTTTTCAGCCCTAAGTCTGTACTTACACATTTTACAACATTTTATATCATGAACTAAAGTGTGTATTTGTGTGCATTCAGGTATCTTGACAACTTCCTTCTTTATAATTTTGACACATGCTTTATACTTACATATCATGTACATGCTTAAGACTCCCAAATGTAAATCTCCAGCATAGCATTCTCTCTGCTTTATATGCATATAGGTGAATGCATAACTTATAGATCCAGAAAGTAGAATATAATTCGGCACTAAAAAGAAATGAGCTCTCAAGCCACAAAAAGACAGGGAGGAAACTTAGATGCATGTTGCTGAAAGAAGCGTGAAAAGGCTACCCATCCTGAAGGAGTCCAGTTCTCCAACATTGCAGTAAAGGAAAAACTGGAATGTTGTAAAAACATTCCAGTAAAAAGCCAGGGGCCAGAGGGGAGGGAGAAATAATTGGGTAGGGCACAGGATTTTTAGCACAGTGAAACTCTTCTGCATGATACTCTAATGGTGGATATAGGTCATTATGCGTTCGTCAAACCTGTAGAACCTTGGTCCAACACCAAGAGCAAGCCTCATGTAAACTGGACGCCGGGTGATAATGATATGCTGATGCACATCTATTGACTGTAAGAAATGGACCATTTTGATGGGGATGTTGATAGTGGGAGAACCTGAGTGTGTGGAAGGGCAGTGGGTCTATGGAAACTCTGTACCACTCAATTTTGCTGTGAACCTGAACTGGTCTAAAGAATAAAATATATTAAAATTTGGGTGTTAAACATAAAAAGGGGCTTAACCTCATTAATCTCTGGGTAAATGCAAATGGGAACCCAAATTTAAAAGACTGACATTACCAAGTGTTGACAGGATATAAAGTAACTGCTAAGCAGCATGTATGCTGCTGTGGAGCTGTTGGACACTGCCTACTAAAGTCACACGAGTTGGACCTGGTGGGAGACAAATGTGGATGGTTCGGCCTTCTGTGGTTTCTGTTTTACTAATTTAGCAGAAAAGTAATTCAGCATTATTCTTGAGCTGGGAAATCACTGACACATTCATTGTTGCTTGGAGAAACTAGGTGTTTCCTAGATTTTCATGTGCTGCCCTATAAGGTGATGCAGTGTGGGTCCAGGGTGATGCTTGCTCATGGAGCTCTTTACTACATGTCCAGTCTCTAGCCTGGGGACACCCCTGCAGAACAGCCACAATGAGTACGTCAGCCTTGGTGTTCAGACCGTCGGATGCTGTCATGCTGCAGGAGCGATCCTGCTGTACACAGCAGTGTGAATAAATCCACAGAGCCAGTCTTGATTCAAAAGGCACATGTGATTCCAGTGAAATAAAAGTCAAAAACAGACAAAACCAATTAAGATGCAAGCCAGAACAGAGGCTACTTCAAGGGGGCACAGGGAGCTTTGTGAGATTGTAGAAGTATTCCCTGTGTTGGGCCGGGCGCGGTGGCTCACGTCTATAATCCCAGCACTTTGGGAGGCTGAGGCGGGTGGATCATGAGGTCAAGAGATCAAGACCATCCTGGTCAACAAGGTGAAACCCCGTCTCTACTAAAAATACAAAAATTAGTCGGGCATGGTGGCACTTGCCTGTAGTCCCAGCTACTTGGGAGGCTGAGGCAGGAGAATTGCTTGAACCCGGGAGGCGGAGGTTGCAGTGAGCCAAGATAGCGCCATTGCACTCCAGCCTGGGTAACAAGCGAAACTTCATCTCAAAAAAAAAAAAAAAGTATTCCCTGTGTTGATAGGGTGTTAATTACATGGGTGAATATGTTAGGATTGATTGAAACAATTTGTGCACTTTTAAGTGACAGCTTAACACAATATATAATCAGTGAGCTCTACAGAATATAGCACTGAGAGAATCAGTGGAGGCCAAGTGGCAACTCAGCTTGGCAGGAATGGAAATGGGGGCACTTTTGGTCACCGCATCTTGGTATCAGAGTGGCAAGGAAAAGCAACGAAGACGCACCCTGCATGGGTTGGGGCTCCACTCAGAGAAGACAGCAAGGTCAGCTCCCACAGTGTGCATTGGTCCCTATGCCTGTGGGCCCCTCCTGGCAGCTGACGTGGCATTGGTTGACATGACACACTCTTGTGCTATAGGAAAAGAACTCTGTCCCCACCTCACGGGGGACAGAAGTGGCAGCTGGGTTACTCATGTGCTGCTTGATCACATGCCCTTACACAGATTAAAAGGAACACACAGTCTGAGCAGGAAAGGTTCCCAGGCCAGGTGACAGACCAGCTCCAGCTGTGAGGCCTTGCTTGCATCTCAGCATGTCCACATGCTTTTCCTTCGCCTGGAACCTGCATTCCCTTAGTCTGCACCTGGCTGAATGACTTGTTCTTAAACCCTTGGCTTAAATGTCATCTCAGATAATCCTCCCAGGACTCAAATCTGAATCACAAGCATGAAGTGGGAGCTCAGTGACTTTGAGTAAAATATGAAGGAAAAGCATATACTCAAGGATCCCATAAGGCTACATCACTTGTGCACAGACTGCCCTCTTAGCAGCCGTAACTCCGACATCAAAGGCTGTTCATGCTTCCCTTCAGATAATGGCAGGCCAGGTGGGCCAGGCAGTGGCACAACCCACCTCCCAAGAGCACCAGAAAAACAAAATCTAGGAGAAGAATGCTGCTTTTTCCAAGGGGCTTTGCCCAGTTCCAGTAAAAGAGCAGAGAGGCTGAGAAACAGGCACTCCCAACAGTGCCTCTACTGGACAGGAACTGGGGAACAGAGACCAGGTGAGGGCTGCCAAGGGCAAGGCCCACCAGAGCTCCCCAGGCTTCACAAGCTGGGAAGAGGAATTTAGGGCCACCCTGGAACTGGCTCAAAATCTGTTTTTATTAGGAAAGTCTGAGATAGGTATTTCTCTAGTTCCTTGCAGAAAACCATTATCTGGAGAACAACAGCATGTCGCAGACTCCAAACAACCCCTATGGCTCTGTCATACACGGCATCCAGGGCTTGCTGGGTGTCCAGCCGGTGGGAGCCAGGCCAGCGCAACCAAGAGGCCAGCACACAAGAGCCAGCGGCAGTTAATGCGGGGCCCAGAGAACGTCGTCAGCAGCCACAAACCTCCGACACAAAGCTTAATATCAAAGAGATAAAGTCATGACGGTTTTGAGAGGAACTGGAAATTTATTTTTAAAGAACCAATAGGCCCGAATTTGAAGGATGCCCCTGAGAGTATGGACCCCAGCAGAGAATCACTGCTGGGGCCTCTGTATCTTATCACAGGAATTTTAGAACTGTGTCCAGGACATAGTTGGCATGCAATAATTCTTTGCTGAAGGGAGGAAAGTAGGAAGAGAAGATAGAACTGAATGTCTTACATGTGATTTTTTTTTTTTTTTTTAATACGGAGTCTTACTCTGTCGCCAGGCTGGAGTGCAATGGCGCAATCTCGGCTCACTGCACCCTCCGCCTGGGTTCAAGCGATTCTTCTGCCTCAGCCTCCCGAGTAGCTGGGACCACAGGCACATGCCACCACGCCCGGCTAATTTTTGTAATTTTAGTAGAGACGGGGTTTCACCATGGCCAGGATGATCTCCATCTCTTGACCTTGTGATCCATCCGCCACAGCCTCCCAAAGTGCTGGGATTACAGGCGTCAGCCACCGTGCCCGGCCACATGTGAATTTTTTATCCAGGAGGCTTGAGAGGTGGGCCAAGAGGCCTACGAAGGCCTATGTTCCTGGCTTTAGCCTGTTCGTTGAGCAAAGACAGACCTTTCTGTACCCAGGGAGAACTGCCCTTCTCAGTTTAATTATGGACAGTGTTCTTCACAGTCCTTATGTTACTTTCAGAAGGAAGAGA